TAATTAATAAATTAAAAAAGTATCAACTTATAAATTATTAGTGAAATTGTATGATTTTAACAAGGTTAAAACTTATTTTGGTCCCTCCACTTTAAAAATAATTAATTATTAATAACATAATTAATATTTATTTATTAATAAATTAAAAAAGTATAAACTTATAAATTATTAGTGAAATTGTATGATTTTAACAAGGTTAAAACTTATTTTGGTCCCTCCACTTTAATAAAAATATCTTTTTAGTTCATTTATTAAAGAAAACTCTTTTTCTAATCTCTAAAATTTGTTATTTGTCTCTTTTTAGTCCTTTTATTATCTCTTTACATAGGTCACATATTAGATTACAAAAATTTTTAAATAGAATGATTAAAAAACAGCTTTTTATAGTAAAAAAATAAAGAAAAAAAAAACCTTTTTTTGTCCCTTTTTAGTTTGTTTATTTTAAAATTTTAATAATCTAATATGTTATATATAAAATAATAAAATGACTAAAAATAAACCAATAATAAATTTGATGAACTAAAAAAATATTTTTTATTAAAGTAAAAGGATCAAAATGAGATTTTAACCTTTTAACAAAAATGTAGACGGCAATATCCACTGCCCTTCATTGCCCCTCACCTCTCCAGATTCCTTTTCCCTCTGCTTTACTTTTAATTCACTTTTTTTTTTTCCCTATTGGACCATAATCATGTTTGGTTGATGCTGGTGCAAATTAATTAAAAACCCCACAACCCATGCCAAAAAATCCTCACAATTCAATGTTTTTTTTTCCTCATTGTGCCCGCATCACTTGCCCGTATGAATTCCAAAACCATGTTCGCAATTGTACTGTATGAAGATTGAATAAATAGTATTTTTTTTTCTTTTTATTATTACTTTCAAAATGCTTTTGGGTGTTAAAAGTCAAATTGGTCCTTCGCTCGGTTTAGTTTCATTTCGCCCGTTAAAGTCGTTAAAATCTGTTTATTCTTTGGAAGGACATTCGAACCCTCCCCATTAAAATGTCCAAATTTTGGAAGTATTCTGAAACTTTTGACTCGTTCTATGGTCTTAATCAATGCAATAGCCGAAAAAGAATGAATGATGTTCTAGTCAAAAGGCGCTAAAATATATAACAAATTTAGTATATATCAGTTTTAATTATAAAAAAAAAAAATTTAATATTAATATTTAATAAAATTAAATTTTAAATTAAATTTATATTAAATAAAATAACATAATTTTAAGTTAAAATTTTAATTTTTTTTAAAATTAAAATTAATATATACTTTTCTTTTATATATATATATACTTTGTAACTTTGAGGGAAAATTAATATACATATAGATATATTAGAAGAGTACTTATCTGCATTAAATTTTAATTAAATAAAATAACGTAATTTAAAATTAAGATTTTAAT